CCCCCCCCCCCCCCCGTAGGATCGAGGACCGAGGTTCCTCCCTCGTCTCTTTTATTCTTCTCTCATTTCCGCTCGAAAATTTTCTTTCGTTCGTCCCGCTGCTCGGAAAATCCCGACGACGATCGACCGACGACGGGTTATGGGATTGCGCGTTTATGTGCTAATTCGTGTCTTATATTTCGAACTTCTCTCTCACACCGATTAACGAAATCGTGAGTTTATTAATCCTCTACTAATTGAATTTTGTAACTTAAAAAAGATTAGTGAGAAGTGAAAGTGTTTGCAAAGTGAATGTTCTACTAAAACGTTTTTAGATGTAAATGTACAAATAAAATAAGCTAAAAGTAGACATTTTTGCGATTGTCTTGCGGTATAATAGGAAAAATTGAAACAGAAAAAAGTTGTTACGAAATTCTGTGTTATCTGTAGATCATTATGCAATCTTATAGCAAGTGCCCATTTGGTTTAATAATTTTAATAATTTTAACAGACTAAAAATAGCGCATCGATATTATTAAATCTTTTTGGTATTACTATTGTCTAGAATTATAGCTATAAATGCATGAAATCTGTGTTCTAATTTAAATCGATGCTCTAATTTATATTGTACAGGAAAATATCGGAAATACGATAGAGTGTTATATATGAAGGATTAATACTCACAGAGATTAAAAATACAGGATTCTCAATTTCATGGTCGTTGTAACACTATCGCTGTCACAATGTCGTTGTTGCATTGTAGCGATTGCGCAAGCACTATGACGCAACGCTATTATACCGTGACTGTTTAATAACGCCGACGTCCATCGGTGGACGTTCTACGCACAACTGATCTTAACTGGTATTATCAGGTAAACATCCCTACTCGACCTCATTAGGGTAATAAACCGTACCCCCCTCCCCTTCGAAATTAGACTTGTCGCCATGTCACAACGGCTTCCATAATTGCGGACAGCTTACGTGGTACGTCACTAACTAAATGAGTTATGCTATTTATTTTTCCAATCCTCGTCGAATTTACTTCGCCCGATATCCAATCAACATGAATGTTGATTATCAGAATACTGCGGATCTTTTTGCAAGGTAATAATTATTTTCACCGATTGCAACAAATACGATTCAAATAGAGGCTTTCCTCTTTCCTTAATAAATTAATACATAATTTATAATACATTATAATATACATTACATTATAATATAATATATTATATTTTAATATATATAATATTATATATTATTTATATATTTATTTACATTTTATATATTACCATCTTCACACATTGTAAAATAGATTCACCTTTTAACCTCCAAATACCTGCAATTATTACTACCCTCGCAGCACAATTAAATTTTCTGCCGACTAAATGAAACATTCTCATTCGTTCTAATTTTAATTTACAAAATTATCGACAGTCCACGAATTACCCTTCCAAACAACGTACTCCCTCAAACATCCTCGGCGCGCGTGGAACGACACAAAGCCGCGCCGATTTCAATACAGCGTTCGAATTAACAAATATTTTTTCAGCGCCGGAATTTTTCACATCCGGACCTAATGTCCGAGGAAAGGCGGATGAACCGGTGGAACCGGGGGGCGAGGAGGGAGAACTAAACAAACGAGAGTCCTCTTCATCAGGCAGCGAGTTCGACGGTGTTTGCCTTCAGCGAAGTTCGTGACGGGAGGATGCGTGTCCGCGAAGGGAGAAGCAGGGAAAAGGAGGGAAATTGAGGGAAACAGAGAGAATAGGAGGGAAAAGGATTCGACGATGGGGGAAAGTGACGGCCGAAAGGTCCCGCACGTGACGTTCCTTCCGGCCTCGTTTCTGCTCCTTCTTCCGGCATCGTCCACCTCGCCGTGTTTGTTTTCGTTATTTTATCACACGCCCGAGAAATCGGGACACCTCGCAAACTTCCGGTCCCGTCGTCAAGGTATTCCGATCGACGTCCAGGAATTCGATGACTGACTGCAGCCTACTAGCGTCTACTGCACCGGTTTCCGACACCTTCGATATGGATGGTGTTCGATTTAGGTGACCATTCTTATCATTTTTAATTGCATCGTACAACTTGACTTTTCAAGGTTTATTTTAACGTATGCGAAATTTCATTTTTATCGCGTTTATTTTAACCTTCATCGCAGATTTCATGCATTCCTGAAAATGGCTATTTTTCCATTTTTTAAATATAAATGCTGCTTAATTCGTGTTTTATCGAATAAGTGACTTCAATTTTAATTTATTGCAGATAATATAGTATTGAAAGTGTGACTTAAACTTCAAGTATCGTAAGCAGACTGCAAATTTTATGCAATCGTTAAAATGGCCACTTCGTGCGACATGACTTTTTAATCTTTGTTTTGTTAAATAAATGATTCTAATTTTATGATTGTCTATTTATCTGATTCATCTATTTAATAATGAATTGCAGTCTTTATGCACTCGTGAAAGTGGCCAGTTTCTTCATTTTTAATTGTATTGTACGGCGTGACTTTTTAATTCTTGTTTTATCGAATAAATGACTTTGATTTCTTGGGGTTTTGGGTTGGCAGTCAAAGTGTTCAAATTGTACCACCATGACCTCCTCTCCCCCTTCCCTATATATATGTACATGCATCTTGTATATTATGCATTTATGACAACAATGAATTAATCGCCTTCTGGTAAGTTGTTTAATAATTTTCTTTGAAATAATCCTCTCGACAGAGATCACTAGACTCTATATTGGATTATATCGAGTAAATCTAATAACTATAATTTGGCTACAACTCTGCTCGTAGGCGTCTTGAACATGCGTGTGTAGAATTGCATTACGTGGGTGGGCAGAGTCGCTCTCTTAGATCGACGATGTCGCTACGATCCTCCATATTGGTACATGATCTTTTATTTATCGGCAGATTGTGACATAGATCGCTATGTCTCGATATGGACCAGACACGAAACCATCCCACCATTCGATCCTCCCCTGCAAAAATCCTTCGATCTTCCTTATCATAGTATTTACCATCCAATGATATACATCTTTGATTTCTCGTCGATCATTGAACTGTAGATTTCGTTAAAAACAATACCGTAGCGTATAAAAGAAATTTTTCTTTCTGTTGTTTTCAATTCGTACAGAAAAATAATTACAGAAATTTTTCTTCTGTTCCTGTTGCTTTTAATTCGTACACAAAAATAATTAAAGAAATTTTTCTTTTGTTCCTGTTGTTTTCAATTCGTACAGAAAAATAATTAAAGAAAGAAATTTTACTTTTGTTCCTGTTGTTTTCAATTCGTACAGAAAATTGCCCATTGAACTGTGGATCTTGATGCATTTATAATACATGCAGATTCTTTAAATGCAAGAAAACGTATAAATCAACAAGGTCTATCTATCAATTAAGACCCAACATCATTATTACTTCCTTCTCCCAGTGAGCAATTTTTTACTCGTTGAAGAAAGCTTGGTTTTTAATTTCAATTTTCGTAAAATAACGTATAAAAAAGGAAATTTGCACTAAGATTCGCAGATTATCGAATAACAATTGTTCCCGCGCGACCAGCCGGAGTGTTAAACGATCGAAAATCTCGGTTCTCGCATTTCTTCAGCAACGCAACAGGCCCCGGAGAAACTTCGGCCAGCTTTCCCAGTTTCAGAATCGCAGCGAGTTACGAAGCAGTAATTAACCGCGGATAATTAACACCTCCGACGCACGCGGGCAGGCGCGCGCATGCACATGCACATGTGCAGGTCGCGATGCGCGAACGCGGTTGTGCAACGCTGTTACGTTGATAGACCGACTCGGTAGCAGCATGCTAATTAGAACGAGAGCTTTCCGCTTTGGAACGGGCCGCGGCCGCCACCGTGATGAATTCGACGAGCAATAGACCGGGTAATGGAACCGTCGATCACCGATTAATTGGATTAATGGGCCGTCGATCCGCCGGGCATGCTAATGGCCCGGGTTTCTTACGGTCCTCGAAGAAACTGTAAAAGCTCTCTTTTGAAACCGGCCGATTGCATTAACCCGCGCGATCCACAATCGCGGAACGATCTTCTCGAATCCTAACCTTGAAGGTGTAATACCTCGAAGTGCCATTTTTACGGCGATTCAACCCCTTTTGATTGCATTGTTGATGATCTATCGCGAGATTGTTCGGTGGCGACAGCCGCACCTACGGTTTCTGAAACTTTGTAGAATTGTTCGAGAGCAGCAACTTACTTTATTCAACCCTCGCAAGGCGGCGGCAGTGTCAGTTTCGACCGCTGAGTATTTAAATCGTTCACTTAATTACTCGATTTTCGAAGAATTATGTCTAAGATTAAAATTAAAATCGAGCACGAGCATCGCATTTACGGATACCACCTGGGTCGGTGGACAAAAAACTCCAGCGCAACGTCTGTTTTTTGCGCAATGTCAGCTGTCCGAGGAGCTCGTCACCGGCCCGGGTGAACGACCCAGCTTGTATACAATCGTCAATATGTATGTGTCGACTGGGTCATCCTTCCAAACAATCCCAATACCAAATTCGTTACTTAATTTATTTGGTTCCTATGCAGCGCGCCGCTGTTCGTTAGGGCATAGAATCTATAACTGTCACGAATGTTCAGCGCTGCTTAGTCCTTTCAATTTTCAAATTCCCCACTCCTCTACCTCTGCTAATCGATGGCCCACGATAATAAATAGACCCGTTTAATGCGATCGCGTTTGAGTCTTCTGTCGAGTCCTCTGTCGATTGAGTTTTCTATAATTACGCTTGTAATTCTATTGCGCTTGCAAACCTGGCTACAACTGTGTAGCCATAAATCGATCGCTTGATCGTATCGTTCGTCAGCTTCGCGATACATCAACGCACATTCCATCATTCTTTTATTAAAATATATTTAGTTTTACTATATCAGCGTTTTTTTACTCTAGTCAGTCCACTATTCTTCATGACTTCCACTAGAGTCCTCAACAAATTAAATTCAATAAATTGTGCTGTGTGTGACAAGTCCGTAAGAAATATCTTCTTTGAAGCGATGAAATACCTTTAATGGAGCGATATTATTTAATTTATTTACTTTTCTTTATTCTTATTTTAATTTTGAAGGGTGCAATAAGAATTCTTCGACGTCATAATAATACTTGACAGTCTATTGAAATTATAGCTACTTTAGCTGAAATTATTAACGATCTTCGAACAGACCATTCAACGACAGCAATATTTATATTTTATAAATCATGCTTTATTAGAGAAAAAATCGTTCTACGAAGCTTGCAAAAATACAACAAGAGTTCTTGGTCATCTTAAAATTATCTGACAAGTCTTTACTGTTATCCAACTGTGAGTTGTTCATTTTAAGCATCAATGGTAGAAGACGAATGAGAAGAATATAATAATGATAATAATAATAATAATAATATTATGATTATTATTATTACTATTATTATTAATTTTATTAATATTAATCATAATAATAAAATGCATTGTCTGCAGTTCCACCAATCAGCTGAAATATCGGAATGAGCCCAGCTAGATTTTCAGAGTTCAGAGTGAAACGAATTATGCACGAAATAAACATTTGTCAGTTGTCGCAGAAAAGGCCTAGAAAAATAAATCCTGTACGAAGCTCCGCAATCTAGTTTCAAAATTCTACGAACTGTATTACGATACTACGAGAAATGAGGAAGGCCTAGATACATGTGGGAGGAGGGTTCGACAGGTTCGTTAGCATCGACCGCGTCACGGACAAGTACCCGAAGACACATCGATCGGGGGCCGCATCTATTTCGAAGACGAGGTGACGTGCGAGGGCAGAAGATCCCGCGGAGGCACCGACGAGAGGTCGGCGATGCTCGCGAAGGTTATGACACTCGTAGGAGGACAGACGAGGTCGAGAACAGAGGTTGTTCTCTCCCGTGGGTTGATGGATGGTCCGGCGGAGATATGACGTCGCGATTGGTCGGCCGTAAACCAGGACTCGCACGGATCCTTCCACCGTTCGTTCCACCCGTAATCCGTCCACTATTCGTCCACCGTTCGTCCACTGTTCGTCCACTATCCGTTCTCTTCCGCCACCGCCTCGATCCGCTTCGCTTTAGCGTCCGTCTCGACGAACGCCGCTCGATCTGACCCGTTGCGACCTCCGCGGACCTCGAAACTACGTCGATGTTAATTCCCAGTTAATTACGTTTGGACCAGGAAACAACAATATCCAGTTTGCCGATTTTGCATCGCAAATAATAAGAATTCTTGCGGCGTTATGGTCTACAGATTTTGGATATTTTCTATGAAAAAGACAATTTTCCATCTAGCATTTTGAAGTTCAAGAATTTCTGCTGCTTCAACAGTCGATGCTACATGGACGATATTTAAGTAGGATGATTCCTTAGACTCTTCCAAATATGGTAGTATATATTTTTATAGCATTATCTGTATTTGAACGTGTGTAAATAATGTTTCAAGCGAGGCTTCGCCGCGTCGATTTCCTACGATATTTTTTAATTGACGATGGAAAGTAAGGAACTTTTATTTGTATCTCGAAAACGAATTAAGATATAGTTTTGATTATGTACTCAACTTGTAGCTTAATCTTTGCTTTATTAATACGTTAAATGTAGATGAGTGTACTTTTCGCAGTTTAAAATGGTTTCGATTAGAGCAATGACCAATCTGGTCACGGTGTTAACCAGACTGGGACAACGCACTGTGAAAATTCTGATTGCAATATCTGAATGCATAATTTACAATTATGTTGTAAAATAGATAGACATAAAATTTCTAGTATCATATTTTCCGTTTGTATTGAATGCGTCATTTCGAAAGTATCAATTCGAATAAATTATTCGAATAATTCTTTACAATTCGAATAATTTATTTGAATAATTCTTTATAATTCGAATAATTCTTTAGAAGTCGTATAATTCTTTATAATTCAAATAAATTCTTATAATTCGCTGAAATAGATAGAATAATGTCCGACGAATCGTAAATAATACTCGACTTTGATTTCAACAGCATCTCTCTCTCTCTCTCTCTCTCTCTCTCTCTCTCATTTTCAAGATACAAATGAAAGTTCATTTCAGCTCTTGTAGTCGGAAGATTAAGGGTCTTTCGCGGATCGCGAAAAATTTCAAATTAGCCGGACAGTATTATTAGAGCCTATAGTGATCGCAGCTCGAAGAAAGGACGAGATGAAAGCATATCCCGCGAGCGTATCAGAGGAACGCGTTGCAGCGTGCGCTCAGGCACCGGGACGGCCCGGAATCGGCTTAATCGTGATTAATATCGCGAGCTCATACCGCATGTCGGTAATTATCTACACGTGTTTTACCGAGTCGAACGATGGCCGATCGCGGGCCCGGTACGTGTGGGAACAAGATCCAGGGCTACCATCGATGTCTCTCTTTCCTTCTTCTCCTCCTCCTCCTGCTCCATCGCCCACGCGATTCTTTCGACGCGAATCTTCTCTCGATCCGCTACCATTCTCTCGCTCCGTGCCATGCTGGCGGATCCATCGATCCTATCGATCGATAAATGTTCGAGAAACGAAACACCGAATAATTGGAGCTGCCAAAAGAGGAGCGGATTTCTAAGCAGATCAGTAGCAGAGACTTGAAGAAATAATGTAATTCACAAATCATTTGTTCAAAAGTTAGTAGCAAATTTTCGAAGAAACGATTCGTCAATTATATTATTTTTCATCGATTGATTGCCATAGAACTTATTTTACTGATGTCTACTTTAGCCTGCGAACAATTTATTGATACACTTCAGAAACTAAAAGCTTGAAATATCATCGAAATTCGAGTGAAGGCGATAATCATCTTTAGATCTTTTCTTTCTTTTTTCTTTTAATGCAGGTTTTGTGCCGGCTCTTTGTTCTACAATTTCTTTTGCAGTTGCGTAAAACTTCTTTATAATCGATATTTCTCCGCAAAAATGGAAGAAATATTTCTTCCGCGCCTGCATTACTTCAAACGATTAAAATTATTCGCGGCGAACAAATAGAATTTTATTTCGATTCGATGTAAGAGAACAGCGATCATGGTTTGTAAATTCCATTCGAAATTTTCGTCACGAGCCTTACGCAATATTAATACCTACTGCAAAAGATTTGCTATCGCGTAGACGTAAAGTGCATTCCAAAATCCAAGTTGATTTAAAATGCATCGCAGAAGTGCCGAAATTTTCTGCATTTTCTGCATTTTCTGCATCAAATTCCTGCAATGGAATTCGGTCCATTTTCTCGAACCTCAACGACTGAAATAATTCTGGCGACGTTTGCACTACGTATATATGTATGTATATACATATGCATGCATAAATGTGTGTATGCATGAACGTATGCACGTATGTATGCACTTTACTTGTTCCCGTTCGAGTGAAATAATTAATTCGTGGGACGATGATCGAGATAAAGAAATGGATTCTTGCAACGTCTGAAGCGACATAATAAATTCGTCCGGCAATGTTCGAGGAAAAATATGATCCGTGTGATAACGCGAGCATCGAAAATCGCCGAATGTTGCAGGGTGCGTGCGCGCGCGCGCGCGAGCGCCAGAATGGCCAGCGGCATAAATCAAACGCTGTGCCCCCGCATTCCCACCGTGGCGGTGGATCGATCGGCATTCGTTCCACGATACGATTCTCAGAGGTCCACGATGGGAGACGTTTTAATCGTGCCGCCTAAACATTCATGGCTCGTCACGGCCCGAAAAGGCCCGCCCGACTCTCCGTTCCGCCATTTTCGAGCACTATTCCGTTTTTTCGCAGCCACCCGCCATTTCGAGCGGTACGCGGAATCGTTTCGAATCCTCGTTATCTTCCTTTTTTTCCCCGGCATGAGAAGCAGGTGACCCGCGGGAAGAATGAACCGAAAATCAAACGGGGCAGCTCTGCTCTTTCTTCTGTCCTCATAACGTGCCCCCCGCCTCCCCTCGGGCCACCGGCCGCGGGTACTAATTGCCGCTGCGTAGAATCTCTCGAGCAATTAAACTCCCGTTGCAGAACAAAGTGTCACCGAGATCGACGGTTCTCGCATTAACGTTCTAATCAGAATGATGCAAATGACTCGGGTCCAACACGGCAACGTGTTAGTTTCATTAGCGGCTTATGACCGCATCAAGATGCATTGAATTGTAGTCGTTCTATCTGAGCCGCGGATCTCTATGCACCTTGCCCTTACGCACTGTTTACAAATTAGATGAAAAATTAGAGTCCATTCCCATTCAGGATCTTATCTGGTCGCGGCGTAATGGATGCATTTACACATTTAGCACCGAAATGGCAGTGCCAGTTCCGCGACGCGGAAGCAAAGTGAAAAAATGAACCGCGATACGAAATGCAACAGAGTGCAGGCTGCTTAGAAAATTAGCAAAATTCGATCGTTCGGTACGAAAATTATAGAACGCGACGCAGCGATCAAATTTACACCTTGAAAACGCGGTACGAACTGCTCGGAATGCGACAGAGTGCAACCGAATGCAACGGAATGCGCTACAAAATGCAACGGATGGCAATCCGGCCAGAAAATTACGAGAGTCAAATCCCAAGATACGAAACCGATATGATACGATACATTCGCTAAATCGTGTGCACCTTGAAAGTGCAACGCAGCATGCAACAGAGTGCAACAGGGGACAACTGGACGCGGTTCGGAATGCAACAGAGTGCAGCACGGTGCAATTACAAGAGCTGTTGGATTCTGAGATATACGAAGCCGATAAGAATAAGGGACGCTGTTAAATTGTGCACCGTAAAAGCGCGTGACAAAGTGCATCGGTATGTGCAACGGGATGCAACCGAGTGCAATCTCGCCGGAAAATCACCGAAATTCATACGAAAGATACGAGAAGCCGCTGCAACATTGTGCAGCTCACGCAACGCAACAGCGCGATACAGAATGCTACGGAATGTAACATGATGCAACGGAATGCATTATAAAGTGCAACAGAGTGCAGCCGAACCAGAAAATCGTGCTTCGGCAAAGAAACCGATCGCGCGGCCGAGCGAAGAGCTTTTTCGCGGCGGAACGGAAACAAATGCACACAGGTGTCGGCGTTGCATCTGCCAGTTAGGCCATTCATCGGTGTCCCGACGCGTTGATCGAACGGGGCCCGGGCGTAGACAATGCGATTAATTTTAAACACCGCTGTTCAGCCGGGCCCGCAGGAAAAGAAACGAAAAGGCAAGGGAGGAGGGGGAAGAACGGGAAGGGAGGGAGGGTATTACCCACGGGGCATCTCGGTGGTCACGTGTGCATAATTAGGGACAAACCGATAACGGCCCGCAACGCTTGTCAAGCGGTTAAGCGTTACCCGGGGCCACGGCCAGCTGGACTAATGATCTCCTTGGGCAAGCTCTCTCGCTCTCGCCCTCCTCCCTTCGTCTCGGCCGTCCTCGCATCTTTTCACGTCCTCTTCATCCATTCACCGCGCGAGACGCATTATCACTGCGCTCATTGTTACCCGTTCCCCGGGTACAACTTCATCTGGCCGTACCCGTTGCTACCTACCACTCGCGGACCTGTCAGTAACGTCTGATTACCGTGCTGCCCTTCGGCGATCGGCCTGCTTTCCGATACCAAATTATTGTCCCCCACCGCGATACTCTTATCCTGATCTAGATTCAAATTGGCTAGAGAGTCGCGCCTTTTCTTAACCCTGCGGGGGAGAACCGGGCAGCGACCCCTGCCGCAAGCAGAATTTTCTTGGACGTTTATTTGTCGAATTCGAATTAATGCGATACGAAGTTGCATGCTGGATTGATTTAACAGTAATCGTACTTGTTAAATTTTAATGATAAATTAATATAATTGAAATAATAATTGATTTTTATTTAGTAAGCAAAAAAGATAATGGAGTGCCAGCACCTCCGAGTGATAATTTTCTGGTAATTCGATTTTCAATAAATAA